GGAGACGCCATGCGCAGTGCAGACCCGGCCCCCGGCGTCCAGGGCGTGGGAGACGCCGTGCGCAGTGTGGTCTCGGCCCCCAGTGTCCAGGGCGTGGGGAGAGGCCGTGCACAGTATGGTCTCGGCCCCCAGTGTCCAGGGTATGTCCTCCCCACCTTTCTCCAACTCCATGACATGGTATCCTGACTGTGTACACATAAAGCTCACCTGTGCAGGCGTGCATGTGGCACATGTATGGATATTCTGGATCTGTGTGCACATGTGTGTGCATGTGTCTCGGATGTGTGTCCTCACGTCTGTGTGCATGTCCCTGCGCGAGTGTGAGTAGACCCATGTGTGTGCTTGTGCCAGGATGAGTGTACATACAAATGTGCATGTACATATGCCTGTACTTATGTGAGTGTGTGTGTGCACATACATGTCTGTAATGTGTCTGCGTGTCCATGCTCCCATGTGTGTGCACATCTCAGGCAGTGAGCCTGCAGGAGGACACATCTGTTGAACCCTCAACGATGACTGTGCTACCTGCTCTGGGGGCACCCCAGGTGAGCCGCGTGGCCCTCTGAGTCTGCTTGCTCATCCCAGGCAGGGACCCAGGCCACCTTCATGCCCCAGGTCCCCTGTCAGCCTCTAGTGGGTCCTGGGCGCCGTGGATCCCATCAAGCGTGTGGATGCGGGAAGTCGGCTCCAGGGGTGGGACCGCACACGTTAGGACGTAGTGCCTCCGACGTTCTCAGGACTCCCGACTCCCCCGTGGCCTTCTCCACAGTCTCGCGGCTTGGCTGTGATGCTTCTTACTCCTGGTCAGAACTGGCGTAAGGAGTGCCTGGCCGTACACAGCCGCCCTCCAGTGTAGGGACAAGGACTTCCCCAAATGCACAGAGCATCTGAATAGTGCCAGCGAGAAACCTGCCCCACAGGACAGGCGTCGTCCCCACCCATGCGAGAACGGCCCCCTCAAGGCGCCTCGTGAAGGGCGCTGAGGCTGCCCGGTCGCCTTCCTGCCCACGCGAGTGATTGTGCCATCAGAGCACCGGGGCCAGCATGGCCGAGTCTACAGGGGAGGGAGTGGCCTTGGCCAACAGCAGAAGCCGGCGGTTCTTCCAGGCTGGCCTTCCCTGAGCGGGCCTGTGCCTGTGGGTGTTCGGTTCTCTGTCCGGGGCGGAAGCTCTCCCAGGACGTCCTGGCCAGGAGGCAGGGCTGGGCCAGCATAGAGCACCGGCCCCGGGCTGCTCTTCGCTGGGCCCTGCCGGCCAGCCCTTCAGTCCGACCCTTCTAAGTCGTCCCAACACCTGTCTCGGTCCTCTGCCAAGTGAGCGCACGGCAGTACCTTATCAAGTGAACTTTTTAAAGTTTAAATAGCGTCTTTGAAAAGGAAAATTGTTTCAGCATTTTTTAAATCGATTTTAATGTAAAATAGCACTTTGAAGTTTACGATTTATAGTTCCCTGGACATGGAATGGGGCAGAAGGGTCAGAGATCTGTGCTCCACTTAGTTCTGCGTTTCTCCTTTGGGGGCCCCACGCCTTGAGACCCAGGCCCACTGCCTGCCAAGCTGTATCTTCAGGTATCTAGCCCAAGATGATGGAAAGATAAGAAAATGTCCCTAATGGAAGCCAGCACTCTCCTCGTCCTCAGAGACTCCAAGGAGAAAGGGAACCTTAATTCGAACCAGTCCCAATGCCAGACGGGGCTTTGAAGTTCTCTGAGCAGGGGCAGGGGGCTCAGGCTGGGACGAGACCATGTGCACATCAGTTAGCTCCTCCTTCCCCTGCTCTGTGGCGCTGGGGCGACTCCCCATCGGCAGGGTGCAACAGCTGAGGTGGCTTCTACTGAGTGTGGACGTGACGTGACAGAAGAGACCCCATGGTAGCTGGCAGGGAAGCCCAGCTCTCCTCTCCTGGCGACGACGCAGGCCTTGGGGTCACCGCACAGTTCTGGTCGCGCTCCCCGGCCTCCGAACTCCTGCTCCCTCCACAGAGGTGGTGGTGGAGCCCTGGTTGCGTAGCTGCGTCTGTGTGCTTCAGCCGGCCCGAGTGTCCCCACGGTGGGTCGACCACGTCCACAGGGTCCCTTCGGGTCTCCTGCCGAGAGGCAGGCTCACTGTCAGGAAGAAACATCTCAAAGTGGCCCTGCCTCTCTGCGCACACCCAAGCACGCCCATGGAGGCGCTCGCCGAGGGCCCCGCCTCTGCGTTGCCGCCGGTTGCATACCTGACCGCAGGGCCGGAAGCCACACATCAGTCCAGCTCGAACCCCTGGCCTGGTCGGTGTGCATCTGTGCCCAGGACCCTGGTGGGCAGGAGGGGAGGAAGGAGATCTCCACGAGTCCAAGCCCTGCGGAGGGCGCCTCTCACTCTCACAGATGCAGTCACTCTGTGGTGGTTTTCTTTTTAATTTATCAGACTAGCCAGTGGTCTAGTGATTAAGGTGTGGGGATCCCACATGACTGAGTGTGTGGTTTGAGTCCCGTACCCGGTGGCTTGAGAAATATGTGGCCCTAAGATCGCAAAGAGAATGGAGAAGGGACTGCAGTGTGACCAGCCCGGGGGTCCTTCTCTCTGTCTCTACGGCGAGCACATGTCCCCTCCGGAGCATGAGGAAATGACAGCATCTGGGAATACTGATTGCTGACACAGAAGTAAAGCAGGCAGAGCACTCTGGGCTCAGCCTGTGCCAGCCTCTGTGGGCCCGGGAGGCGGCGTGGTGGGCAAAGCACACCCCATGGTGTACTGAACTGCAGTGCCAGAAGCCGTGGGCTGCCAGTTCTGAATCCCCAGTCAGCCGGAAACGCAGGTGTGTGTGTGGCCCAGGC